GTGCCAAGCAACTACATTAAGATGAGGGATCATCGATGGTATTATGGCAGGATAAGCCGGGCGGACGCCGAATCAATGCTGAAGAAGCAACCAAATGACGGCGCGTTTCTAATTCGTGAGTCTGAATCTTGCCCTGGTGATTTCAGTCTTTCCGTCAAGTATTCACTTTTCTAATGATCCAAGATCGCCGCTGTTTCAACATGGTTTTTTTTCAGATTTCAGGACGGGGTACAGCACTTCAAAGTGCTACGCGACGGGGTCGGGAAGTACTTTTTATGGGTAGTAAAGTTCAACAGTTTGAACGAACTTGTCGCATATCACAGGTGGGTACCGAGGCGAAATCCTTCCATTCTGACTTAATCTACGCAACTTTTTTTGTAGAATCGCCTCTGTCAGCCGGACTTCGACCATTCTGTTGAAGGATATCGAACCGGAAACTCGCCTTGTGCAGGCGATGTTCGACTTTACGCCTCAAGAAGCGGGTGAACTTGAGTTTAAACGCGGCGACATAATTACGGGTACGTCACATTTCGTTATTTCACAGTTTCTGCTTGAATATGTGAGGTGTTCAGCTGGGTTGGCACGTGTGCAGGAAGCTGAAACTGAAAGTTGATAAGCACGCTTAGTTCGTCATAAACTCTATTGTACTTATGTCAGTAAGTAGATAGGGATATATAGAACAACACATGACTGCACATCTTGCAAGTTCTGGTGTGACCATGACCGAAATATACTATCCAAACTGTTCTGAAACCACCAACTTCATGGAACAAGGTTTCTTAGTCCATTTTCTTTATTTTTTTAAATTTACACTTACACTGTGCTGATTTTTACTCTACTATGAGCTGGGTCAAAGAAAGGTGCAGCAGAAAAGCGTTAAGTATAAGACCGTATGACAATTTCTCACAAGTTTTCACATCTTATCATACCAAAACGCCATCCCGTTCCAATTATAGTTTGCACCTAGGCTCGCCAGGGTAAATTCTTTGCTCAGTTGAATTGGCAGTTTACAAGAGAAAAATGGTAACCGTTTTTAATAAGCTATCGGGTTATTGCTTGCTAGTAGGGTCGTACAGAATGTAGAGTTATTTACTCATGTGACTTAGTTGTTAATAACCAGAATATGTAGAGTATCTGTTGAATTTGTTTGAGTAAGCAGGGTACCAGAGTAGATAATTGCAGCATGCTTACTTAACTTCACGGTCTGACTGTACATTTATCTAAGGACGCTACATCTAAGATAACAAGATGCGAAGCGTCTTCAAACTGTGGTAGATTTACTACTGTTTTCGAAGGTACAGTGTACTCAATAAATGTTGTCATGTTCTCTCCGTTAGAGAAGATCACCTAAGGTGCCACTGTTGACCAGAAAGTTTGCCACATCTCAGATTATAGCCACTCAGGTAACATTTAAGATTTATTTTGCTATGTAAAATTAAAGATATTATGTAGTCATATAGCACCTACATAACTTTTTCTTAATCTTCCTTTGCCACAGTCCAAAACTGATAGACTCGTTCTCCATTAGGTGATATCGATATTTTTTGTGTTTTATTGGTTAATACGAGATGGGAAATTTTCTGCTTCCTCCACTCCCTTGCTTCAAGCTTGTAATCGGTGCATTTCCTGAATTATTTACATTTAAATCTTAGCTATAATTTACTTGTCAGTAGACCGTTTCAGGGTTTATTGCATATATTCAGGGATAAGCAGCGCGTCCTTCAACTTCCCAAAAAAATTTTTAATTTGCATCTTATGCTGAGATTAGTCAGCTGTAAGAATAGTGAAGGTGAATTACAGCGGTAAGCCACATGCGCCAGAAAGCATGGCTCTCTCGCACACTTGCCCTCACAGAACATCACGTTGCTCCTAGTATTTACGGTCAGCGGCTTGCTACTCGTTTCTCGACTAGTTGGAAACGATTCCCTTTTTGTAGTGTGCTTGCTGTCTAGTTAAAATAACAGTTAATAAGAAAAGTCTACACCGCTCTGGAACTTAAAACCTGTATTCTGAAAAGTGCCGAGCAAAGTATTTATCTACTGTTCTCCATACTTTGTTTTGTAATGTAGTCCCTATATTTTGTTACTTGCTTTACGCTGCATGACGTGGAGTTTGTGAAGTACTTTACAAAGTAATAGTTTATTACGTCAGATCTTTACTCATTTCTCTGATTCATGGTAAATTAGAAAATAGGCAGACAGGTTATTATATGCCCGGCATTGTTGTCCATACACCTTTTCCAGCCCAGGTAGTCGTTTAAAACAAAATTCTGTCCTCTTGTAAGAAGTACTATCAGAACTCCCTCTAGATTCGTGTGACCCTTACTGTAGTTCATAATTTCTCTACCTAGTGTCAGGCTCATTCTTTATACATTTAAGTTTTTTCTAAAATGCCAAAATTTAGCCCCAAATTGGGCTGACAGGGTGCAGTCGAAACCTAATCCAAATTCTGAGACCATTTGTCGTGTGTTAAATAAAACGTTTCCGCATTAATATTATTTTCACAGCAGCAAGTTTTTTTAACTTATTAGCTTGTCCTTCATTGGAAAGCAATAATTATAGCTTGTCACTAGTTATACGCCTAAAAAACTGATTTCAGTTACGGATAAATCAGACGAAAACTGGTGGGAAGGAATGTTGAAGAACCAAAAAGGGATGTTTCCTTCAACTTACGTCTGCCCATACAATCCTCAGTGATGCAATCCTGATTTTTTTGGCCTTGAGTCTTATTTCGTTCAGACATTTGGTGTCCAGTTTGGCAGCCTACGTGCTCTGTTCCATAGGCGCTACGCAACGCAGGTTGTTAATAACTGCGTGCCGATCATCTGGTATGCAGTATACGCAAAAGGGACAATGCGCGGTGTTGCGTCCGCTCGATTTTTCTAATCTAATCATATGCAGTTTTCATTTTTACGCCGTTGACTGTTGATAGTAATTTAGCTGTTTTATACATCGCATGTTTTTTTGAATTTGTTATGCAATCAGCGCCTAATAAAAAAACCAACTAACAGAGCAAAAAATATCTGAAAGTCAAAATTACTGTCACTTCGTCGAGTCGAATATCACCGACTTTCGTTTTTTATGCTTGTCTTGTTTTCCTTTATTGGTCTTTTGCACGCTGTCAGCAGAACGAACAGCAATGGCAAATAAAGCAATGTGAACCGAAATAGTTCACCCGACGACTTGTTGTCAGGCCGCTTGTAAAATCTGAAACAACAAGGCGATAATTGGTTAGTGGAAACTGTAAAGACAAACTAAACGGTGGAATCGTGGCTCCAAACCATGTTTACCTTTGAGGACTGTATAAGACATCGTTTTCCGACTAAAACTTAT